AAGAAGGAATGAGGCTTATTTTCAAAATGTTTAAAACTTCAGGTTATAGAAAGTTAAGGATCTCTACTTTAAGAAGGATTTCTCTGGTCTTGTGGAAAACATGAGAGGCAAAGAATGGATGAAAGAGGTCTCTGAGACCAGTGGTGTGCAAAGCATTTCCTACCCTAACACATGGTTCAGGCCTGATATCCACCTTAGCGTTTATTAGCTAAAATTCTCAAACTATTAAAAAAATATTTTCATGGGAAAACTTCTCTTTGATTTCTTAATATAAGCTAACAGTAAACTAGAATTACCTTTAGAAAAAGTGGTTTTTCAATCTTGCCCAAAATATATTTCAACAAACCAGGGATATAAAATGTTTATATCCCTCTTGAACTCTGCATAAACATGATTTAAAAATTAAAAATAGGGGCGGCCAGTTAGCTCAGGCAGTTAAGAGCACAGTGCTCGTAACACCAAGGTTGCCGGTTCGATTCCCACATGGGCCAGTGAGCTGTGCCCTCCACAACTAGATTGAAGACAACGACTTGACTCGGAGCTGATGGGTCCTAGAAAAACACACTGTTCCCCAATAAAATTTAAAAAAAAAATTAAAAACTAACTGAAGAAACGACTTCCGGGATCCTCCATTCCTTGTATCACATCTTAGTCTCTTCCCTTTCCCTATTCTAGGTTCACATTATAGACCTGGGTAGAGATCACCTGCTATCAACAATGAATTTCTAGATCTGATGGTAATTTCACTGCTCTAATGCATTTTGAGGACCTATGCTTAGACAACATATCCACTACAAATAACTTATAAGAGTTATTATTGAGGGAAAAAAAGATTTAAGCTAGACAAAATGAATAAAGGCATGTGCATGTTTGGATACTTAAGAAATTTTTATAATTCCATAGCTTTCTTTTTTTCATATTTCAAAAATTCCTCAAGTGCAATGGAACACCACAAAATAACTAACAGCTGCCACTTACTGAACATTTGTTACGTGCCAGACAGAGGATAAATACTATCTCATTTAATCCTCACGTTTACTCTGAGAGGTAAGCGCTATTAGCTCTATTTTATGACGAAGGAATTGAGCCTTAGAAAAATTAAATAACTAACACTACTGAGAAAGCGATCCTTCAAAAGTTGAACCCTGGTCAGCTGCCTATGACAGCAATATCAGCCTCAGCAAAGAACATTCAAAGACAAACCAGACTTTGGGATGATGGGAAACTATCACATTTTCTCTGATAAGTCTGGAAAGTGAAAGAGCCTTTTCCGATACAAAGTAACGAGATTCAAACTTTAAGAGAGTAAAGTTACAAAGCCTGAGATCCTCTAAAAGGTAAACTTATCCTCAAGTGTCCCTTAACTTGATGGCAAAGACACTGCAGGTTGTAGGCATCCGTGCAGCGAAGGGAAAGAGGAGAACAGTTCTATTACTCATATACCTACAGGGTGCTGGGTTACTGTATAAAGGATACTGAAACCCTTAGCCAGTAACAACTAAAAACCAAAACAAAAAAACAAGTGTTTAAAGCTAAGACAAAAAATAGTTGCAGCACCTTTTTATAAACTATCTTACTGTATACCAAAATTATCTACATAAAGCAACTTCTACCCCAGTCCTGCCATATGTGCACATGATAAAATAGTCCAGGCCCGTGTGACGTATTAAGAGTATCCTCCATTAAGAGAAAGAGAATATATTTTCACTTTTTTCTTTTGACAGTAAAGGGAAGGATTGAAAAATAAGGTTCTTGCAATAATCTTTCTTGGAGGCAAGAAACTTTCTCTTCTCTACATCCCCAGAAAGGCTTGTCTTTCTGCAGACTAAATGGCAGTTTAAACGACCATTGAATCAGAATCCAGGACTCTAAGCCAGCACTCTAAACTGACTCAGGTATTCAACAGATAAGTGACTTTAATCAAGTAACTTCACTTTTTCAGGCCCTCATTTCTCCTTCACTGAAATTTCAGAGAAATGAAGAAATTAAGGCTTGAAGAATTTGAAGCTGCGCCCCAAGAAGCTGCCCCAGGGGCACTACAGTGGGTGAGGGGAAGGCCGAGTCGGCACCTGCCAATTCTCCCAGAATGGAGCCACTTTCCCACTTTACATATAATAGAGTTCTATGTAAAATGTTATTTAACCACCATTCTGCTACTACAAGGTAAGAGCGAAAAACAGCTGTCTAGGTGCTCGCCAAAGTCCCAGCACACCACTGCATTTTTCAGATCCACAGCCTTATGCAGCGTATTTCAGCTGTGAAAGATGGAGTCAATTTTACATTAATGCTGCAATTAACGTTTAGTTACACTCTACTTTCGGATAAAACACACAATGCCCCTCCCCCAAAAAAAACTTTCAATGGGATATTCTAGAAATAAGAATAATCAATAGGATAAGATCTCTAGATAAGTGGCTGCGATAGCTGCTGGCAGCCGAAACAGTAGCTGCAACCTTTCTTCGTTCCCTAGATGCCAAACGCAACGACAGTACCTGGTGACCAAAGCAGGCACCCAGGCACAGGGTTCCCAAGAGCCAGTCTCTTCTAAGTGGATTGTCCCATCTTATCTCTTCTGCATCTCAATTAAACTTCTGCTTCCTGGGGTTGTAACAGTACTCCTGGTTGAAGTCTTTCTCCACTCCTTTTCCTACCTACCCTACCAAGTAAACCTGCACAGTTCCCACAATCTGTCCAGGGGCACATCTACTAAATTACAGTCAGATAGGGAATACAGGCACCCACTCTCTGGGTTCAACTACGGTACACAACGATCTTGTGTGTTACAACATATCCAAGTTTAAAGCAATCTACAGTCTCACCCAGATGTCCCCTCTTGTCCCTAATCTTTTAGGCCCCACAGTCAAAGACCCTAACTTGAGAATTTACATTAATAATTTACCCAACAGACAGCTAAAATAAATACACTATGAAATTTCGATAAACCAATTATTAATTTTAAACTTATTAGCAAAGCAGTTTAACTACGAAGATATCCAAAGTGGAACTGAATTCAAATATGGGGGACAAAACATTTACATATACATTTTTGTAGGATTTATCTAGTAAGGCTAAGAACTCAGTATAAAATATCATATATGCCCAAATATAAGCCATGGTCTTTTCCCAAAAATTACCCCTAAAAAAGAGGTAGCTTCCTTATATTCTAGTCCTTACAAAGCCTTTGTTATGAGGACTGCTCTCTCAATTATCTTATTTTTAACATAATAAGGCTAAAAATATCTTTAAGACAAGAGGAAATGATCAATCAAGATCACAGTAACACCAGGCTTGATGGCATACGGTGGGAAGCTGTGACCTGTGTAACGTGAGAGAGAAGGGTCATTCCTACAGGAGCAGGGTTGGAGGAGTCTTGGTCAGGCTGAGAAAAGAGAAGGGACAAAATGTTCTTCAGTGACTGAGACTGTTTGGGGGAACTGCCTGAAGTCACTTTAATCAATACTAATTTGGGAGGCTTAAGAGACTTCAACCCAATAAAATCAATTTAAAAGGAGGCAAATAAATTCAACACATTTTTCGAATTACTCCTCACGGTATAACCTCACTGCCATACCCCAAAGCCTTTTTTTTTAATTGCTTTAAAAAACAAGTAAATCATTAAATTGCAAAAATGAATGTAATTCTATAGAACAAATGCAGGGGTGGGGAATTCCACTGCTTTGCAAAGTTATAGGTTGGATAAAACAAGGATTCAGGAATGATGTATCTCGGGCCGGCCGAGTGGCGAGTTGGTTAAGAGTTGGCTTGGGACGCCAGCTCTGAGCAGCAGGGCCCCAGTTCGGATCCCACATGAGGACCAGTGACGCTGCGCCCTCTACAGCTAAGATGGTGAACAACAGCTCGACCTGGAGCTGCACTGCCACGAGTTGCAGGCGTCGGCATAGGCTACAATGGAGCTGCAATGGGCTGTCATAAGCTACTGTGCTAGCCAGCAGCTGGCATGAGCTGCCATGAGCCGCAGTGAGTGGCTATCCAATGGCCGGTGACCAATCTGCCTCACCCGGGAAGAGCGCAATGATAATACCAACATGGGCCAGTGAAGCAATGTCCTCCACAACTAGACTGAAGAACAAAAGGACAGCAANTGGGTTGCCATGGGCTACCGTGTGTAGCCAGCAGCCAGTGTGAGCGGCCGTCCAGAAGCCAGCGACTGATCTGCCTTGCCCAGGAAGAGCGCAATGATGGTGCCAACTTGGGCCAGTGAAGCAACGTCCTCCATAACCAGGCTGCAGAACAAAAGGACAGCAACTTGTCTGTTCCCCTGCCCCCAATTCCCCAGCGCTGTTCCCATCCCCCAATTCCCCAATAAAAATCTTTTAAAAAATAAATAAATAGAGAATTTTAAACTATTATGTATAAATTATTTACAATGATCTCCAAAGAGGTCTCCATAATATTTTGTTGCTACTAAACTTTCTTTTAAATATATGAAATAAGGTATCTGGGAACCTTCACAAAGATATATACTACAAATATATTTTAACAATACTCCATGCAGGTAGTGTTAATTTGTATTTTTCTTTTTTTTCCCCCAGTTACCTTGCAGTTTATTTAAACTAAGAGAAAAAGGTCATAATGTTTTCGTGCAATACGTAATTGGTTCTTTAAATAACAATTGTGACAAATAACAGAAAGAATTAAGGAATGCTGCACCTGTGATCTATACAAAACAGCAACATTATGGGTTGTACATAATTTAAAGAAATGTCTTAAACACTTTTTGAAATACTGTTGTAGCCAATACATAGAAACGCATGCCTTGGGTGGGCATAGGAATGCAACTTAGAAAAAAAAGAAAAACAAAATCACACCGGAACTACCCTTCAAATTAAAATGTAGTTCAAATTCCGGAACTACACCGGAATTTCTTTAAAATCACTGAGCAAGAAAAGCAACATTGAACTGCCATACTGATTTTACACAACTTCTATACAGTACCTTGACTTAAGTCGAAGAGCAAAAGTTAAGGCTCGCCTCTATTTTTGGTAAACAACTGCATGGTAAACTTAGATGACTTTTCCCCCTGGATTTTACCTGGGAGTGGTCTTTTAAATTTTTTATTTAAAAGAGGGCAGGTTTGGCACTTTTATACTGATGTCACCAATGTTAATATTTCTTGGGATCTTGGGAAGATTCATATTCTTTACAGCGGATATAGCACGGGCTGGAGCTCCCGCTAAGCCAGCCTCAGATTTCTCCAGTTTATTTTGTGCATCAATTTGTGTAACAATCTCATTCATGTTGGTCTCCAATACCATTCCCCCCATCACCATTTCTGCAAGAATATTGTCAACCTTGTCTACATGGAAAATTAAATCCAGTTCACAGACATTTTCAAAACACTTGTCTAATGTTTCCACAAATACTTGAATTAGATCTAAAATGCCAAGTTCACTTTCTGAAGAATCCACACAAAAGACAAAATGTAATGTTGTGTAATATCTATAAATCAGTTTGTTGTCAGATCCTCCAATTAATAATCCTCCTTCTAGGAAATTACAAACATTTTCATCTCTCTTAGATACCAAATGGAATGTCTCCCTGATGACTTGCTGTTGTGTATCTTCACTGTAAGGCTGGCAGAACTTGGAGAGCCGCGGCTCCCCGTGGTTGTTGAAGATGAGGGTCGCCTTGATCATGGCTGAGCCAGGCTGACTAGGTGGGCTGACTGGGTGGGGGCCAGGACGGGGGCGGGCGCACGAGCCTCACCTTGGGATCTCACCAGCGATCCTTCCCCACCCGCCTCCTCTCACACGCATGCATGCGCAAGCACCTTAATTTGTATTTTTCTACTACAGCAAACAGCAGGTCAATGAATCTTGTCTCAGTCATTTTGAAAATTAAAAATCAAATGGTTTCAGGGCCAGCTGAGTGGTGCATTGGTTAAGAACTGGCTTGGGACTTCAGAGGGCCCCGGTTTGGATCCCACATATGAGGGCCAGTGACACTGCCCTCCACAGCTAAGATGCTGAACAACAGCTCAACCTGGAGCTGGGCTGCTGTGAGTCGCTGGCGACAGCGCAGGCTGCAGCCCCTGCTGCAGTGGTTGCCATGGGCTACCATCTGTAGCCAGCAGCCAGCGTGAGCGGCCCGTCCAGTGAGCAGCCGTCCAGAAGCCAGCGACTGATCTGCCTCACCTGGGAAGAGCGCAATGATGGTGCCAGCTTGGGCCAGTGAAGCAACGTCCTCCACAACTAGACTGAAGAACAAAACGACAGCAACTTGTCTGTTCCCCTCCCCCAATCCCCCAATAACAATTCCCATACCCACAATCCCCCAATAACAATCTTAAAAAAAAAAAAGTTCACTCTTTTACTCAGTATTTCCATTTCTAAGTCTCCACATAGTCTAAGAAAATCTGAAATGCAGACAAAGATATTCACTGAAGTATTATAATGCCAGAAAGCTGGAAACATTTGTCTAGCAACAGAGAAATGTTTAAGCAAATGAAAGTTAAGTAAATCATACTGTTACACAATCACTAATAATTGGCTATGAAAAGTTTTTAAAGACACTAAAAATGTTTATGATGGAATGTTAAATGAGAAAAACTGAATACAAAATCATATATATGATTAAGTAAATAACAAACAACAGGTATTAAAAAAAGGAAGATATACTAAAAGGAAATATACTAAAACATTACCAATATCCTATCTGTGCATATCTTGCAGGATGATAATAAGTATAAGTCATTTTTGTTTTCTTTATATATTTCTGTAGTTTCCAGTATATGGTACATATTTTTAAAATCAGAAAAAAAGTAATGTTTTAAAATGTGTTCCCAAGTCAAGGCTTGTCAGGTCTCCCTAAATTAATCTACAAATTCAATATTATCTCAAAACAAATGGCAAAAAGAAACTGAAGGAGGAACTTGGAAATATTATCTTAATAAATAAATACGCAAAAATAGCCCAAAACAGTCTGAAAACAAGAGTAATAAGGTGGGGGGGTGTGGGGGAACAGAAAGCCTTTACCCTACCAAAAACTAAAATCTATTCAAAACTACAGCAGTTAAAACAACATGGAACCAGAGCAGGAACAGAGGCGCTAGCACACACTCACTACTCATGTATACTCATATGTGTAAATACAGTTGGGACAACTGGGTAAATTATTTAGAAAAAAAAAAAAGACAGCAACAAAAGCCTAATAACCACAGCCAATCTTTGCTGCACTCACCACAGGCCCACAACCCTTGGGTACAGATGTTTGCCGACTCCCATTTTTTTGGATCTTCCAAAGATAATATGGAGCTTATGTCACGTATTCTGTAATACTTCAGCAAGCTCTGGGAGCATGTTTTTAAAAACACAAAACCTACAGCCTTCCTCCTCTCAGAGGAAGAAGTCACCCTCCTCTGCCCAAAGCAAACCTGTGCTCTGACCCCATCCCTTCCTGTCATTCCCAGCTGTTGCTCCAAAATGCCCCTTGCCAGTATTTCAACACCTCCCCTTTCTGCTAGCTACTTGTTATCTGCTTACATTTTGTGAAAAACAAAAAAATTTTTTCAAGAACAAACCACTCCCTCTCTACCTTGTCTCCTTTACATATACAAAGCTTATTCAACAATAATCTTTTCAAAAGTAAAAAACAAAAGAGACTACACTGTCATGCCATTCACTCCTATGGCGGCAAATTCACTTCTCTAAAAAGCACTGTGCTGGGCCGGCGGAGTTGCATGTTGGTTGGGAGTTGGCTTAGGACGCCAGCTCTGAGCAGCAGGGCCCCGGTTTGGATCCCACATGAGGGCCAGTGACGCTGCGCCCTCTACAGCTAAGATGATGAACAACAGCTCAACCTGGAGCTGGGCTGCCGTGAGTCCCCAGCGACGGTGTAGGCTGCAGCCCCTGCTGCAGTGGGCTGCTGTAAGCTACCGTGAGTGGCGTGAGTGGCCAGCAGCCAGTGTGAGCTGCCAAGAGCCACTGTGAGTGGCCGTCCAGAAGCCAGAGACAGATCTGCCTCACCCGGGAAGAGCGCAATGATAATACCAACATGGGCCAGTGAGGCAACATCTTCCACAACTAGACTGAAGAACAAAAGGACAGTAACTTGTCTGTTTCCCCTCCCGGATCCCCCAACACTGTTCCCCACCCCCAACTCCCCAATAAAATCTTTTT